TAAGTTTATTGCTTAAATATAAATATATGAACTGTCTAATGACTAATTGTAGGTTATTTAAAATGAAAATTATTGAAAATGAAAAATGTGCTCTCTCTGCAATGGTTTCCCAAAAACTTTAAAACATTTATTTTTTTAGTGCTTTCAAGTTTAAGAATTTTGGAAAGATTTTACAAAGTTGTGGAGAGAAGCCACCCATTTAGATATTGATCTAAGTTATAAAGACATAATATTTGGTATTGAGGTGCATGATCCTAACCTACTATTATTAAATCTTCATATAATTTATTTTTAATTGTAGATTCGGAAATCAGTCACCAAGCATTTTCCATTTTAAGAAACTGATTAAATATAATTTCCATTTAGAAAAAGAAATAGCTTTAAAGACATATTCTGTGTATTAATTTAAAAAAAACATAGGGTATCATAAAAAATAAAGAAATCAAGTTTTAATGCAAAATCAGAATGTTTATTCATTAAAAAAAATTAAATCTCTTTTGTTTAAAAATCAACTAGTTTTATGCAATGTAAGGTGTTGGGTGGCTGTTTCCTGTTTTTATTAATAAAGGGTAATCAAAAAAAAAAAAAAAAAAATTGGTACAAAAACAGAGAGGGTGCTGTAAAATTTCTGTTCTGCTTAGTTTTAGTTTCAAATGGTGATGATGTTCTATTCTTTTCTTGAAATGTTTACTAATGTTAATGCTATGTTGAGCAAATGATAGTAATATAAAAAAAAGTTTATTGCTTAAACCAGATTTATCAATAAAGCCTAGCTTAAACAATTGTTTAAATTTATCTTACATTTAAGACAAACAAAAAATACCTTCCTTAATTATCTCACTCAAGGCCTCCTAGCATATAAATTAATTTAAGCTGATTTCTTTGCAAGTTAATTTGACAAATCTGCCCCAGTTCCTCATGAACCTCAGCTTTGCCAAGTTAAAGGAATTAGCATTTCTAGTAGCCTGGAAATTGCACACTCTGACTGTAAAAATGCTTTTTCAAAGTAGAGTTTTTTGACAAAATTGCTTCTTTCCCACACCAAACCCCAACTGTTGCCACACAAATACGAAACTTCAGTTAAAGACCTATAGCCCATTTTAATAATAATAATAATTGTCAATTTATATAGCGCATAATATAAAATTTGTCTATGCTCTTTACAGCATGGAGTAGGAGAAATTATTAAAAGTTTCATCTATAAAAAATATTATTCTGAGAAGCACGAAGCTCTAATCAAAGATCCATGGTCTGAAGAGCAGGTTTAAAATAGATAGCCACCTTGTAATGCACCAACAGAGAACTAAGATTTAGAAGTGATTAGTCGTTGCACTTGTATACGTATATTGCCGGCATTCTTTTCTTCTTATTGTTTATCTAGGGAACAGTGAAATGTGTAATTTTACTGTTCCCTGGTTTATCATACGTCTAAGAATTCCACAATTGCCAACAATGAATAACAGATTAAAAAGTACATCAAAAAGTGGATAAAATCACAAACACAAACCAAATGTGATGTGACTAATTAAGATTTTAATTGCCAGTTAAATGTACAAAAATATACATGTGTGCGAGGGGTGTTGGTGTCGATGAATAGGCTGCCGAGATGGGTGAGTACCCCCGTCACCTACTGCAGGATATATCGCTAAAGATTAAATTAAAACTTTCCACTCATCTAATACAGCTTTGTTGAAAAATATCATTGAGGTAAGCTAGTGTTCCCATGATTAAATATACTTTCATAATAGCTTTGCAATGAACTTGCTGCTAAGAGAAAAGAATAAAATTGTAGGTCTATTTCATCTCAATTACTAAACTGATTCTTAACATTGATGCTAAGGTAGTACCGAGTAGGGTTTTTGGTGTTACTGTATATTATTGCTATGTTCTTACACGTCAGCTAACGGTTAGCAGGATCCGGATCCTGCTAACTGTTAGCTGCCATGCGTCCATACGAGAAGATCCTGATCCAGATACCAAGAATATGATGATCAAATCACTGGCCAATAAGAAACTGGAAGTTGGAAATGCGTACGTGTGATTGGTTGATGATAGAAACGAGCTCGAAGTGCTAACTGATAGCGCTTGCTAACCGTTAGTGGTATCCGGATACTGCTAACGGTTAGCGCTAACTGATCGGGCGTTTTCACACAGGACGTGCTAACGGTTAGCAGTCGATCCAGATACTCTCGTGAGAACCAGACTTTTCTGATTTGAACCCAGGATTGAAACTTCAGCATTTTATCCTCGATCCCAACTTTCATTGCATTAAGTTTGATGTAAAATAGATATAAAAGTAAAAGGGGTTAATTCATATTTGCTGTTGCTATAATATATTATGATGTTAGTGTTTACTATTTTAAACAATTGTAGTATTCCATTACTGAGTATTTAACGACATTATTATTGGATGTATGCATTTCATTGAAAAATGGGGACTTCTGAAAATATATATCTTCTGTAGATATGTCCGTAATACAACAAATATTAACATAATTGTTATTATCTTAGTAAAATATTAATTAAAGCCATTAAAAAAAGTTAACTACCGTACAGTTTCCAAACCATATTTCCTTTAATCTCAAACTGTTGGGAACAGTTTTACAGAGCTAAGAATTTGTCCACAACAATTCACGCAATTAGCTTACAACTTATTTCAATTAAATAGATGAAAATCTCTTGTAGATTAAGTTTGAAATCAACCACAATATCTGCTTCTGTTTTTCAGAAAATATCCATCATTTTTGTCTATTATTGTAATAAATATCAAAACTGCACACCTAAGCTAGATATAAACAAGAGCATTAGAATCTTATGTTTCATCAATGAAATCAAGTGTTTTTCAAGGTCTCCATCTTTTTTACAATTGTGTGCATATTTTTATCAATCAATGTATAATCCTCATTGTAGGCCAAGGTTGGACAGCAAGTGAAAAATAAACAGTTGCAGCCCAAGCTTCAACAAAGTGTCCTTTAATTTCATCGGCAAAAACAAAATTTAGAAATGTGGAGCTATACAAGCAACAGGGAATGTTGGAAGGTTGTAGTTAAAGCTTTTCTGTATCAAGTCAGTTTGCAGAAATACTTTGTTTTACTAGCTGCATTTTTTCTTTTTTAAATAGAAATTCAAAATCAGTTTTATAGCCTACTAACTATAAATCATATATTTTCAATTATTTTTTAGAACAGTTTTGATAGTGTCTGTTTGAGACAACCAATCGTAGTTCTGCATTTATCAAGTTTTTATTCTCAAAATAAAAACCATAATGATTTGTTCTTACCGATGAAGCTGTGATTACTGTATATTATTCCTTATACTATTTTCAATTTGATATCAAGCTTACATTCTAACTACTATAAAAGATACAAACACAAGATGTACAGACAATACTTCACAATAGATGAGAAAATTTGATAACATCATAGTTATTATTTGCACAAGATCATAAAGAATAGAAATAAGAGAAAAAAAAATATATGTACATGTTTTAATTAGCAATTCTCCAGAAGGCTTTAAGCTCATAATATGAAAAAAATGCTAACTCAAAACATACAAAGTGAATGAATTCTCATTAAGAATTAAGTAAATAGAGACATTAAATACATAATAATCTACTTATGAGAAAGAAAACTGGAATAAAGTTGTTTAAAAAAATCATCTGAACAATGTGTTATCAGAACTCTATCATCCCTGCCTAAAAAACATTAAAACAATTTGTGAATTGTTGACTGATGTCCAATGATTGGACACGGTCTGACTGGTTGTCATTGCAAAATGATTGACAAATCAACATGGGAAAACCCTACACCAGGCCAAGATCAACAGCATTCTCCTGCCAATAAATAATTAGGATGATGGTGATGATGATGCATATCTAAACAATCGATTTGACACGGATCATGGCACGCACAGCGTTGATGGCTTTCTGTAATTGGAGAAAAACAGGAAAAATTTGTATCAGAAATAAATGATATTACAGATTTAATATAACAAGTGTATAATTGAAGTCAATAATGGTTGTCAACAGTCCTTGACATTCCATATTTTGCAAAAATAATACAAATATATATCCAGATGGAATTTTAAGTACAGTATCTGTATAATGTATATCTAAGTGTATATTTATCAGTATTTAATATATGAAATATAGCAAGGTGACATAATATATGAATGGATATAGAATGTAACAAGGAGGTATTATTTACAATATAATACCTTTTTGGTAGTGTAATGATAGAAAGTGGCTTGATATGGAAAATTTCATATAAGGACAGGATGAAAATTAAATAATGTATGAAGATGATACTATTTGAGTAAAGAGAAATTTCCAATGATCATACCTGCCATCTTCTCCTGATGACATATTTCTTCAGTTTTGCCTTGGAGATGGCTTTTGAGGAGGCAGCACCAGCTTTAATTAGCCAATCATGTTTCAAGCACTGTGCAGCAGAATTCCTTTTGCTAAAATCATAATAAATACAAGTAAATAAATGAATAGATAAATAAAGTAATATCTAAGGATTTATCATTGGATAATTTTAATATGTTTTTTCTAAAATGTTATAATATAAAATAATATTTTAAAAGTTAGAATATATTAATGATTTAACATTAGCAAGAAAATTTATAGTTTAAAAGTATCATTCTTTTTGTTTTTTGCTAATTTTGAATTAAAATTAAGCCCTGATGCAAAATAATTTAATAATTTAATAAAAAAAAAAAAGTTTTAGTGTACTTTAATTTTTGAAGTGTGCTGTTTTGTTGATGCACCATAAGAATTTTATGGAGGGATACAGGTACACAACAAATTCTCATAATCATTATTATTAATGAAAATGGATCTTACTCTTGATCTTTCTGGAGTAAACATTCAATGAAATTTTTTGAAGCATCTGAAATGTCATCAAAGCATTCATCATCCCAATCCCATTCCACTTTAAGAATGTTCGTCATTGTTTCACCTTCTGTGTCACCCATGAAGGGGGACAAACCACTCAATCTGAAAATAACAATAATAATAATAATATTATTTTTACATAGCACACTTTACACAAATATGATAAAGGACATTAAGAAACAAAACACAACGTAAATATCTGAATCAAAACATTGATTTTGAAGGTTCAAATCCGATGTACAATTTGCTTGTGTTCCTCTTGGTATTTCATTTAAATTTTCACTCTATGGTAATGGGTATAAATCAGTAAATCATGATATACATAGCGATGTAAACTATTGGGAGCTATGAAGCCATGAGAGCATATCCCCGGCATTGGCGGTGCTTAGTGGGGGAGTGAGGAGAAGGAAGAAAACCCCTTGCCCTAAGAAAATGTATTATCATCAATCAATAATTTGTTCACTACCCTAAGAAAATGCTGGTAGTTTGTATTGTACAGTATGAAAAGTTTGCTGAATGATGCTTACATAAATATAATAATTTGAATGATTAGCATCCTATTTAACATATAGAATGATAATTTTGTTATAAACATTGAAAGCTGGAAGTTAGTTTTTAGCCTTTGAATAGAAGATGAATACACTTTATATATTTTACTTTTTTCATTCTGTATACGTAGTTGCAGTAGAGGCCTGCATTATCAAAATAAGGTTTTGCCCTTAAAATAGCTACAGGGTCCAATATTTCAAAGGCTTTGTCCCAAACACCAGGGCTTAGCAGCCCTTTAGTCTTCCAGTTGTTGGGGAGATATCTCTCCAGGATTGGAATATACATGTAATGTTACATAGCACTAAAATTCTAAAGGCCAACTCAGACAGCGTCGGCCGACGCAGCCCGACTTGATTTATCGTCGGGGACAGTCTTAAGCCGTCGTGAGAAATATTAAACATGTTTAATATTCTACTACGCGACTGCCACACCATCGCGTCTGCGTTCAACTCACACAGACCCGACGCGACAACAAATTGCGTCGGGCTGCGTCGGCCAACGCTGTCTGAGTTGGCCTTTAGAATGAATGCTCTCAATAACATAACTTACAAAACATATGCAATAACTCCCACACTCCACATGTCAGTGTTGGTGTTGACTGGGTCAAATGATACAACCTCTGGTGCAAGAAACTCAGGGGTACCACAAGAAACTTTCAGTCCATCTGTGTATTCTTGAGCCAGACCAAAATCAATGATTTTGATTTTGTTACTATTTTTACGAACACAAAGAATATTCTCTGGCTGCAAAGAACAAAAACATTTCCATGGAACATGAACATTCAAAATTTATGTATAATATTTGCATAAATTAATGTTTGAATAAATAATTTAAATTAGAATTTTCTCATTTCAGCTCTATTGTGGTGAACATTTGTTGAGTGCCTATGTATAATCTCTAGATGCATTTGCAACAAAGGAAAGAAGAGAAAAGGAATCGTAAAGAAATGGGAAAAAATAGAATGTACAAGGAAATTGAAATTCAATAGCGTTGAAAAGGTGAGTTTTGAGTCTTTTCTTGATGATGGGCAGAGAAGAAGAATTACAGACTTGAGCAGAGTATTACGAAGCTTGCAGACATAATGAGGAGCTTGCCACAAGACTTAAACCAGGTACTAACTGCACCCGTCGGCCAATGCGATTTTATGGAGAGCGCAATGCCATGACGCGCGCACCGGATCGTTTATAATGATGATCCGTTCAGACTGGCACCGACAGTCAGCATACAGCGTCGCATCATCTAATGCTTACGGATCAGAGTTGGACCGTGTTATGGTGCAGGGCTTTAGATGGCATTGATGGTGCGAAAAGTGTAGTTTTGCTAGTGGTAGAAAAAAGAAAACAACAACAACAACAACAGAGCATAGTCATATTAGGTCTGATACATACCTGAAAGATTGAGAATGTAGAGCTTTGTACAGGCAACAGTATTTTATAATATGATGCTTGGCAGGCAATCAATATGTATATAGATCATTTTGTCTTTCTCAGTTAAATTTATATATAAAATAATACTAGTGGTAAAGGTATGTATTAAGGTAGGAAACATCAAAGGGAGGATTTTTGGGAAGGTTTTTTTTTTTTTAATAGAATTTCAAGCAATAATATTTGGAAAATAATACAATAAATTATCACATTCCTGTGTTTTGAAAAGGCGATAAAAATATATTTTTTACCTTCATATCTAAATGTATAATTTTCTTTTCGTGCATGAATTGCATGCCTTCACATATCTGTGTCATGAACATAACACAGTCCTTCTCAGTCAGATCAAACTCCTCATCAATAACTCGCTCAAACAATTCTCCTCCAGAGACACTAAAAACGATAATTTTTATAATATTAAGGAATTTTTTTTTTTCATGGCATATGGAGGGTGACTCTTCCGGCTTATCCTAGAAAATCAGCAGATATTCAGCGGCCCTCTTAAATAATAATAATAATATAATTAATAATAATAATAATTCTGGATAAATAAATTAAATAATGTGATGCTGTTATCAGAGCAAAGTCTCTTTATGGGGCCTAGGGAGTGAAGTTGTTTTTAGTAGTTAGAAAAAGTCCCTGCTGTGCTATCAGTACGGTACATACTGCATCTTACCTTAAACAGTTAATCACTATTGTTATAGCAACAACATACACAGATACATGGTGTATGTATCCAACCATTTCTTATAGACCGTAGTAGATAAAAGAACAATACCAACAAAAATAAAAATATCAATTAGACTTATTATGTCTTATTATTGAAGTAAAAAGTACATGAAAAATAAAATTATACTAAAAAAAACTATGAAGTAAAAAAAAATAAACATGGAAAAATAATTTAACATCAATGAGCTGTTATTGATGAGCGATATGACTTACATTTCAAGAATGATAACCATGTTATTTCCAGAACCAAAGCAATCATACAGCTGTAGAAGTTTAGGATGCTGCAGTTTCTTCATAATATCTATCTCATGTTCCACCTCAAAAACAAATGAAATTGGGGAAACAAATGAAAAACCTAATATGATTGTTTTTTTATACGATACCTTAACTGGGCATAGGGTCTACACATATTTCTGGCCGTAGATGCAACAGACAGCATTTGTGTGCAAGCTCACGTAGATGATGTGTCTTTCTATATCTGTTGCAAGTTGGAAAGCTTGATTTGTTCATCAGAAAATGTCTGAATTGTCAAACATTATCTTGTGATTTTGACTGACAAAATTAGTGTATTTTTTGATTTACAATAACATATAATAAATTAAATAAGGTTATTCAATCAGAATAATTAAATGTAGTACAATGCAAATTTCAATTTTATATATTTATACAGCAGAACCCCTATTAAGGCGACACATTCGGGACCAAAAAAGTGTCCCCATAATAGGGTACCCCTATTAAGGGGACAATTTTTTTGGTCTCGATGGTGTCTCCCTATTAAGATGACACTTTTTTGTATGTAGTTATACAATGAGGACATAGATTATTTAATTTGATTTCAATTGACCTAAGAATGAGTTACAATATAAATTTAAACTAAATTGTAACAATAGTTTTCAGTGCAAATAAAACAAATACAACACAACACATGATGAAATCAAAATAAATCTAATTAAAACAACAAAAGATATTGTTCTGATTCCAGTGCTGTCACAGATACAACAGAAGGAATAGAGTAATGACTCCAAAATCAAGGTGAGGGTAAGCCAAAATAATTAAAAATTCTTGTGTTGTCCACGTCTTGGGAAAATCCAAAAAATGGGTAGGAAAAGTTTTATTTTTTTAAAATTTGTTTAAATTATTTTTTTTAATCCAATAGTGTGTTTATGTGTAAAAAGTAGAAAATACACAAAAATACAACAAAGACCATTTTTAAATCTATATTGTAGAGTAAAACGATCGCATAAAGCTGTCGCATAGCATACACATACCATCGCAAGAGGCCCATTATAGTCTTTTTTAGCTGTTAGTAAAAAAAAAAAAAAAGGGAAAAAAAACTAAAATGCAGACCCTCAGTTTCAAACCTTTTGGGTCGGTCGGGTGTGGCCAACACAATCATTTTTTTTAAATTTGGATTTATGGAGTGGATTCCCAAGATGTGAGTTGGTCGATGTGTTAAAAGATATATATATATCACATTGTTTCACGGAAAAGTGTCCTCTTAATAGGGGTGTCCCAAAGGAGGGTTTCTGCAGTAGATGGCTGATGAATAGCTACATCTATTTTTTACTTTGTCATGATTTATGAAATACAAGAATATTTCATTCAAAATGTTTGTGAATTAGTAAACATAATTGAATTTGGACTATAATTTAGATATTTAATTTAATTTAAAAAAAATTGGCTTAAAATCCCTATTGTAATTTATTCATAGAATATTTTGGCTGTTAAAAATGTGAAAACCATGAGATGTGAATGCCATCATTGGCTTTGACTGCTTTGACATGCCCATTGACAGTTAAAATTTACTCACTGTATTCAAGACATAAGAGTGACTGATTAAATTATTCCACAGCCCACAGCAAATTCACCTGCCATAAGTCTCATTGGGAGGCTTTGGGAGTGGAATTGATTTGAACCTATTCCTTGGAACTGAAGACAAGCATCTTACAGTAGCTGGCACCAACTTCCACTCCACTTTAAATGGATATCCATTTTGAATATTTACTTATATCGCATTATCTAGTTTGATTGCAGTATACCATTGTGCAGGATCATAGTATGATTATTTTCGATATCCTAATACTAGAAACAATCTTTGACTTCATTGACTCAGTTTTGAAATGTTGATCTTTAATGTACTGACTGGATAATCTCAGTCAGCAATAACGGATTTGTTAGTACAACAAGTTTTTACCTGCAGAACTATTATTATAAGTATATTAGATCATACCTCCTTTTTATCAGCTGGTTTTTCAGCTTTGATGAACTTTGCTGCAAATGTTCTTTTGGAACTCTTCTCTACACACCTATTTACTGTTCCAAATTTACCTCTGTGGAAAAAAATTTTTGAATTGAAATTATTAACTATTAAGAGATTTAATAGTAAAATCAGATTGCTCTTATTTTCCTAAAAACTTATTTCATTCTCTTGTAATATCAAAAAGCATCCTCATTATAGTTCAAAAGCATTAGGTAAGGTGATATGGAGCATATTTTGAATTGAAATCATAAATTAATTAGAGATTTAATAGTAAAATTAGATTGCTTTATTTTCCTAAAAAACATATTTCATTCTCATTGTCTTCATTAGAGTTCGTAAGTATTATGTAAGGAAGGTGATATGGAACATCATTCCTTGCATAAATTTGATGGTATTGGATTTGATTGTTATCCAAATCATGAGGCCTAGACTTATACTAATATACTTTCGCATTTCACATACTCTACAGATTATATATATGCAGAACTAAAAATTAAAACAAACAATCTACAAACCTTCCCAACTCATCTTTAATATCATAAAACTGTTTGACATTAGTTGTTTTGAATTCAATCTGTCTGGGCTGGAATGCCATCTCATCTGAGAAAAGAAAGTGAGTGGTTTGGTTATATAAATAGTATTTTTACAATTTCACTTCCTTATATAT